AGCTACCTTAACTTAATGGACTTAGCTGGTTCTGAGAGAGTTTCTCTGACGAAAGCTGCTGGTGAGCGTCTTAAAGAGGGGGCTAACATAAACAAATCTTTGTCAGTATTAGGAAATGTGATAAGGCAACTAAGCGAGGGGAAGGAGTTTATCAGTTATCGCGATTCGAAATTGACTAGACTGCTCTCACAGGCTCTTGGCGGTAATGCCAAATCATTGATTATCGGGAATGTTACTTTAGCTGCAGAGGAGACTAGATCTACACCAGAATTCGCCCAAAGCACTAAAACTGTCAAAAATAAACGAAAGTAAACATCTTGTCAGCTACAGAAGAGCACTTCAAGGATATCAGAACTTGACTCGCGATCTCGAAACTCGGCTCAAAAAGCAGGCAATTAAGCTAAAGAGATGGATAAAAGCAAACAAGAGTATCTGCTCGAGATAGAAAGACTAAAAACGGAAGTATCTATTGTCGGGCGCTTTCAAATGGGAGCCTCGGCATCAACACCGAAAAAAACATTAAGACGTCATACTTTTGGACACTATGGCAACGTATCACCTAAAAAAGCATCCCTAGGTATATGCCATTGAAAAATTATCCACCCAAAGAAGAATCATCCGGACGTGAAATGAGGCCTATTCAAGAAGAGACATATGAGGAGGCACTAGCCGAAGCAGAATCTGTGATAGCTGAAGACGTGCAAGTGTACTTAAAAGACAACTCAAAGAACTGGAAGAATCTTTCAATGAGCTTAGAGAATTCACTAAACTAGATAATCAGCTGGAGATTTTGGACCTGAAGAAACAGCTCACAGAAGCCAATTCTAAAATCGATCGTTACAGTCAGGAACTCCGCCAAGTAACGGATGCGTACAACGAAGAAATAGAAAGGTTCAAAAAAATTCTCAAAAAGCGCAAGAATTTCATCGACTTGCAATACAGACTCGATTTTCTGGAAAAAATATAAAAAGACTAAAAACATACGAGTCAGAAATAGAGATGCTGCGTACTCAACTGAAGAACCTAGGAAGATCAGAGAGCCCTAAACCATCTCTTGAAGCTCAAAATATTGAGTCAAAAAAGAAGGTTGCAGACTTAGAAGCTATGCTTGACGCTGAGTACGAAGATATGCAAGATTCTTTAAGTGCTGCTACACAAACTGATGTAACGATGTCACACATTGCTGAACTGCAAGATGAAATTGGCTTCCTAAAAGAACTTGAATCTAAACTGAGAAATGACGTAAAGAGTCTGATGGACGAGAGTAACCAACGTGAGGTCAACCACTCATTTAAAATCTCAGATATACGATGCCATAATGATTCTACTATAAAAGAGCTTCAGGATCAAATGGCTGAACTGGAATGCCAAAACGAAATCTGGATTATGAAAAATGACGACGAAATCAGAAAATTGCAACAACTAATTACAAACCCGAAGCAGGCTGGCACTTAACCAGAACCACCTGTGCAGGAAGACGTTGCATTTTATAGGGAGCAAGTTGAGTTCTCCCAGAACATGTACAAAAATGAGATAATAGGTGGAGAGTTACGTATAAACCATAGAGAAAATCTTCAGGCAGTTAAACTAGAAATATGTCTACCCTTGTTTAGTGTTTACGATTATTGCAGGGTTTGGACAAAGTTTAGGGCTGATCCCACGGACCACGATAGCACCTAGGACTTAAGATTGTGAATCTAGTCTTGGTAACCGCTCACAGTGTACAATTTTCAGCTAATAAATCTTGAATTCTGAGGTAACAAAATCAACTAGAACTCTGTAAAAGTGATTTATCAGAAATCATGCCCTTACTTCCATGATAAGAGGAATTCGTAAAAATTATAAGCAGGTTGTGGCTTATTATCTAGTAAAAGATACAAGAATCCCAGATCTGAAAACGATTATTGTTCATGTGATCACAAACTTGCAGCGACTTGGTTTGTGCGTCGTTGGCACTATTTGTAATCAGGGCGCAACGATCAAAAACGCACTTGAGACGATTTGCTCGGAGAATACTCACGGATCAAGTCCATTCCATTTTATAGCAATGCTCAGAGTATTTCTACAATTTTGATGAACCACATTTATTCAAAAATGGATGAAATGCTCTTATTGACATTAATATGAAAGTGAAGAAGCTGCACAGCTTGAACATGTCTAGAAAGCAATAATGTTGATCAGCAAACAAGACCATACAAAGAGCTATGTAAATTGAAACCCAGCCACTTTGATTTTATAGATTCGTTTAAGAATATAGAAATTAATCCTTTAATGGTATCGTCGGATGATTCGAGCTTTCTCAGTTATGTGGTGGGGGTCCCGTGACTTCTCATACGGTATAAGCACGTATACCTCAAACCACAGTTTAATTTAAACATCACAAGTGTTGGTTTGTTGACTTTGCGGTCAAATTTGATCCGAGGATGTCAGTTGCGTGTACGATTTGAACTTCCTTCACAATGGATTTTTTCGTTGTTGACGGATGAACAATACACCATATACTACGCCGAGGACGACGCTGTTAGCGATCAACCTGAACAACTTCCTATGGGCGACCTCGCTATGCTTATGGAAAAAACATGTACAATTGGTCAAAACGAGCGCCTGCAACTGGTCGATCCAGACGACAATATTATTACGCATTTACCTGAACTAAAGTCCGTGGCAACCAATTTGGAAAATAATAACCCTGTGACTCGAGAAATGCAGATAAATTTCTCCAAATACGTGAAATTTTCGAGACACTCATAGAGAACTGTCGAAATTTTTATATTTCGGGTGAGTCCCCTACAAAATACGAGATGCTCGTGGGCCGATGTCCTTCCTGTGCCTACAAGAAAACTAAACCGAATAAGTATGGACTGATGATGCAAAGACTCACCACTACCTGCTCAATGCTTTCGTCTATACGAACAGAAATATCACACCAGTAGAATTACATGTAGAATTGCGCATCAACCAACTGACCAATGTCGGCAGGAAGCGTAAAAATAAGTAACAAGTACCCCAACATGTAGTTCCAAATAAGAAGGAAACACAGCCAGGTACTTCTAAGTTTATGTTCACTAGCACTACAGCCTTAGTGTAGTATCTTCCAAAACCAAATACACATGTTCTCGTATAGCAATCTATGCAGCATGATAACAAAATAGTAGAGGAATCAAAGAAACCTGATAAGATTCTATATTATTTTTATAACACTATGAAGGCGGGGGGTTGCATTAGATCGGAAGTGTGTAAATTACAATACTGGTTAGAGAACGAGAAGATGGCCTTGTGCTATTTGGTATCCAACCAGCTTCTGTAAATTCCTTTTTTTTCAGTCTGGGACTGAAAGTTCTATTAGGCGACGAAATTTTATTGTTCCCCTGAGCGTTTTATGCGTACAAACCTGTTGTACACATGGCTAAAAACAGTAATGGCATTTCAGAAGTTGATAGTAAGATCCGGTGGATAACCTGTTTTGCGAGATTAGACGTGGGATTTCCAACACGAACCCATCTGCTTATTTGCAGCTTAAAAACTGTAATAATCAACAATTTCAGTTTTCCATCAATAATGAAGAATTATGAAGGCGATTCATGTAAGGCACTAGGTAACTTCGCGTTGCTTTTAGAAGAGTATTGTCTGAATAGACAACAGTTACCTTGTGATTCTTCACCGAGCTGCATTTTTCAAGTTGAAAAATCGGGTGCTGAAAGTGATGGATCTATAGATTTGTGAGAATTTGCTGCTGCTTCAACTTCTTTTTGTAATAACAATAACAGTCTATATGAAATTTAACAATTCTGTTTCTTCTTTGATTTTGAGTCACCCTGTAAATGTAGCTCTACTAAACTATCGGACCGCATTCATAGCCTACAAGAGAAAAAAATCTTCTATACTGGAAAGGAGGAAAAAAAGAATGTATCAACCTGATACATCTGCCCCTCTTTATAACCCGTGAAATAGCCCTAGTTCTAATTAAATTTCAGTTCAAGCTTCCAAAATGACTTCCGACAATATTAAAATAGCCATAAAGATCAGACCAATGATCCACCGCGAAGTAGCCGATGGTCTAGAGCGTCTTTGGAACGTAAGAGAAAACTGCATTTGGGAAGCCGATGAAAGTAGTCGCCATGGAGAGGTTTATATATTCGACCATGTATTTAACCAGGAATGTACAAATTCAGATGTATATGGATCTGTAGTAAAACCTTTAGTCGATTCCTTCATGGAAGGTTTCAATGCAACAATATTTGCATATGGCCAAACATCTTCTGGCAAAACACACACCATTTTGGGCAATAAAACAGATCCTGGGCTTTTCCAATTAGTATCCAATCAGTTATTCCAGCATGTGGCAGACCAGGTTGATAAGAGGTACTTGATTAGATTCAGTTATATTGAAATCTACAATGAAAAGATCAATGACCTCCTGGATAAGAGCAATCAGGGTTTAACTATAAGAGAAGATATCAAAGGAAATGTGCTGTTGATGCAAGGGAAGCTGTCGTAGACAATGTTGATCAAGTTATGGAGAACATGATGCAGGGCAATAAGATCAGACGAGTTGCAGCTATCGCATGAATGAGAGGTCATCTCGATCACACACGATTTTCCGGATTATTCTGGAGTCGAAAGATGCCAATCAGAAAGATGGACCTGTACATATGCTACCTTAACTCAATGGACTTAGCTGGTTTGAGAGAGTTTCTCTGACGAAAGCTGCTGGTGAGCATCTTAAGAGGGGGCTAACATAAACAAATCTTTGTCAGTATTAGGAAATGTGATAAGGCCAACTAAGCGAGGGGAAGGAGTTTATCAGTTATCGCGATCGAAATTGACTAGACTGCTCTCACAGGCTCTTGGCAGTAATGCCAATCATTGATTATCGGGAATGTTACTTCAGCTGCAGAGGAGGAGACTAGATCTACACTAGAATTCGCCCAAAGCACTATACACTGTCAAAAATAAACCGAAAGCAAACATCTTGTCAGCTACAGAAGAGGCACTTCAAGGATATCAGAACTTGACTCGCGATCTCGAACTCGGCTCAAAAAGCAGGCAATTAAGCTAGAAGAGATGGAGAAAAGCAAACAAGAGTATCTGCTCGAGATAGAAAGACTAAAAACGGAGTATCTATTGTCGGGCGCTTCCAAATGGGAGCCTCGGCATCAACACCGAAAAAAACATAAGACGTCATACTTTTGGAGACTATGGCAACGTATCCCTAAAAAGCATCCCTACGGTATATGCCATTGAAAAATTATCCACCCGAAGAAGAATCATCCGGACGTGAAATGAGGCCTATTCAAGAAGAGACATATGAGGAGGCACTAGCCGAAGCAGAATCTGTGATAACTGAAGACGTGCCTGCAAGTGTACTAAAAAGACAACTCAAAGAACTGGAAGAATCTTTCAATGAGCTCAGAGAATTCACTAAACTAGATAATCAGCTGGAGATTTTGGACCTGAAGAAACAGCTCACAGAAGCCAATTCTAAATCGATCGTTACAGTCAGGAACTCCGCCAAGTAACGGATGCGTACAATGAGAAATAGAAAGGGTTCAAAAAAATTCTCAAAAAGCGCAAGAATTTCATCGACTTGCAATACAGACTCGATTTTCTGGAAAAACATTATAAAAAGACTAAAAACATACGAGTCAGAAATAGAGATGCTGCGTACTCAACTGAAGACCTAGGAAGATCAGAGAGCCCTAAACTATCTCTTGAAGCTCAAAATAGTGAGTCAAAAAAGAAGGTTGCAGACTTAGAAGCTATGCTTGACGCTGAGTACGAAGATATGCAAGTTTCTTTAAGTGCTGCTACACAAACTGATGTAACGATGTCACACATTGCTGAACTGCAAGATGAATTGGCTTCCTAAAAGAACTTGAATCTAAACTGAGAAATGACGTAAGAGTCTGATGGACGAGAGTAACAACGTGAGGTCAACCACTCATTTAAAATCTCAGATATACGATGCCATAATGATTCTACTATAAAGAGCTTCAGGATCAAATGGCTGAACTGGAATGCCAAAACGAAATCTGGATTATGAAAAATGACGACGAAATCGGTAATTGCAACAACTAATTACAAACCCGAAAGCAGCTGGCACTTAACCAGAACCAGCTGTGCAGGAAGACGTTGCATTTTATAGGGAGCAAGTATAGTTCTCCAGAACATGTACAAAATGAGATAATAGATGGAGGGGTTACGTATAAACCATAGAGAAAATCTTCAGGCAGTTAAACTAGAAAATATGTCTACCCTTGTTTAGTGTTTACGATTATTGCAGGGTTTGGACAAAGTTTAGGGCTGATCCCACGCACCACATAGCACCTAGGACTTAAGATTGTGAATCTAGTCTTGGTAACCGCTCACGGTGTACAATTTTCAGCTAATAAATCTTGAATTCTGAGGTAACAAAATCAACTAGAACTCTGTAAAGTGATTTATCAGAATCATTGCCCTTACTTCCATGATAAGAGGGATTCGTAAAAATTATAAGCAGGTTGTGGCTTATTATCTAGTAAAAGATAAAAGAATCCCAGATCTGAAAACGATTATTGTTCATGTGATCACAAACTTGCAGCGACTTGGTTTGTGCGTCGTTGGCACTATTTGTAATCGGGGCGCAACGATCAAAAACGCACTTGAGACGATTTGCTCGGAGAATACTCACGGATCAAGTCCATTCCATTTTATAGTCAATGCTCAGAGTATTTCTACAATTTGTGATGAACCACATTTATTCAAAAATGGATGAAATGCTCTTATTGACATTAATATGAAAGTGAAGAAGCTGCACAGCTTGAACATGTCTAGAAAGCATATAATGTTGATCAACAAACAAGACCATACAAAGAGCTATGTAAATTGAAACCCAGCCACTTTGATTTTATAGATTCGTTTAAGAATATAGAAATTAATCCTTTAATGGTATCGTCGGATGATTCGAGCTTTTCTCAGTTATGTGGTGGGGCTCCCGTGACTTCTCATACGGTATAAGCACGTATACCTCAAACCACAGTTTAATTTAAACATCACAAGTGTTGGTTTGTTGACTTTGCGGTCAAATTTGATCCGAGGATGTCAGCTGCGTGTACGATTTGAACTTCCTTCACAATGATTTTTTCGTTGTTGACGGATGAACAATACACCATAGACTACGCCGAGGACGACGCTGTTAGCGATCAACCTGAACAACTTCCTATGGACGACCCTCGCTATGCTTATGGAAAAAACATGTACAATTGGTCAAAACGAGCGCCTGCAACTGGTCGATCCAGACGACAATATTATTACGCATTTACCTGAACTAAAGTCCGTGGCAACCAATTTGGAAAATAATACCCTGTGACTCGAGAAATGCAGATAAATTTCTCCAAATACGTGAAATTTTCGAGACACTCATAGAGAACTGTCGAAATTTTATTTTTCGGGTGAGTCCCCTACAAAATACGAGATGCTCGTGGGCCGATGTCCTTCCTGTGCCTACAAGAAAACTAAACCGAATAAGTATGGACTGATGATGCAAAGACTCACCACTACCTGCTCAATGCTTTCGTCTATACGAACAGAAATATCACACCAGTAGAATTACATGTAGAATTGCGCATCAACCAACTGACCAACGTCGGCAGGAAGCGTAAAAATAAGTAACAAGTACCCCAACATGTAGTTCCAAATAAGAAGGAAACACAGCCAGGTACTTCTAAGTTTACGTTCACTAGCACTACAGCCTTAGTGTAGTATCTTCCAAAACCAAATACACATGTTCTCGTATAGCAATCTATGCAGCATGATAACAAAATAGTAGAGGAATCAAAGAAACCTGATAAGATTCTATATTATTTTTATAACACTATGAAGGCGGGGGGTAATGCATTAGATCGGAAGTGTGTAAATTACAATACTGGTTAGAGAACGAGAAGATTGCCTTGTGCTATTTGGTATCCAACCAGCTTCTGTAAATTCCTTTTTTTTCAGTCTGGGACTGAAAGTTCTATTAGGCGACGAAATTTTATTGTTCCCCTGAGGCAAACTCTAATTTAACTTCGTATGAGAGGACGTTTATCAGATCCAAGACTTCCTAGGGAGCTTCGTTCAGCCATGCAAAGAATCCAAAATTACCAACGACGAATAAAGTAAGCCGTCTACTTCTCAGCCCAGAGTTCTCGATCCTGATGCAGTGAATAAAGGGAAAAAACGACGTAGGTGTTACATGACAATACACAATGAAAAAATGTTCTACAATCTGTAATAAGTATGCAAAGTCACAGAGCAGCTACATTGTTTCGTGAAAAGTGATAATGTGAATTATTGTACGTTTCCTTATACGAGAAAGTATTTGTTTTTGTTGTAGAATATCAACACCAAATATGTTGTTAAATGGCCCATTTTGTTAGTTTTTTTATGTTCATATTACAGTTCAAGTTTCGTAAATTATATTTGTTGCATTACTCATCTTCAAATGGGGTATTTTCGTTTTTAGACAATAAACAGTTTTCATGTAAGAGTGTTTTATGCGTACAAACCTGTTGTACACATGGCTAAAAACAGTAATGGCATTTCAGAAGTTGATAGTAAGATCCGGTGGATAACCTGTTTTGCGAGATTAGACGTGGGATTTCCAACACGAACCCCATCTGCTTATTTGCAGCATTAAAAACTGTAATAATCAACAATTTCAGTTTTCCATTGACAATAATGAAGAATTATGAAGGCAATTCTTGTAAGGCACTAGGTAACTTCGCGTAGCTCTTAGAAGAGTATGTCTGAATAGACAACAGTTACCTTGTGATTCTTCACCGAGCTGCATTTTTCAAGTTGAAAAATCAGGTGCTGAAAGTGATGGATCTATAGATTTGTGAGAATTTGCTGCTGCTTCAACTTCTTTTTGTAATAACAATAACAGTCTATATGAAATTTAACAATTCTTTTTCTTCTTCTTGAGTGCACTGTTGGTTGTTTGTTTGAGTATCCTTGAAGGAAAGAACTAATTCGTATTCTCCAACCTAACTAATAGATCATGACTTTTTATAGGTTTTTTACGGTTTGTTATTGGATCTCAATTGTGTAGATGTTTTACTTCGCACCTCATGACCAAACTGTTGTGATCCATAAGTACACATGCAACATTCTAGTCGAAGATTGCATAACAACTAACCAATGTGTTAGGACAACAGTTCTGGTTGGGTTTTCATATTCCTGGCAATAATCACACCAAAAAAAGGCGAAAGAAAATATCCAAGCGTCTTTAGTTCTGACAGAAACTGGGGGATTGAGAAGCGGAATCTGAAATGCCATAAACAAGTACTCTGTGACAAAAATAAGTCAAAGAAACTAAGTCTTTGATTCACACTCGTCACACTCGCCGTTTTTGGAGCAGCCGCACAAAAAGCGACAAATCTTACAAAAATTACATCATTTTCAAAGTACTTTGCCATATAAAAATACCTGAAAATTGTATGTCGCCGTAACGCGTTCCCGAAGGGACTCGAAGCAACATAGAAATGACTTGGTTAAAGCACTTTTGAAATTAGAAAAGAAAAAGATATCATTGCTAGAAAAATAGGATATCACTGATGGCGATAAGCATCTCAACTTTTTTAATTCTTTAATACTACAGGTCAGGTAAAAATTCCTTCACACAACAAATTGTACTTCGGGAATCATGTAGTGCCTTAATGAATGGAAAAATAATTAATCAAGTAATCACGACAAGATTTATGGTTTTAAAGACTTGGGATATAGTGACAAGCTAATCATGCCGTTACTTTTATGTCAAGAGGAATTCGTAAAAGTTATAAGCAGATTTTGCCTTACTATCTCGTGAAAGATACAGTTACTTCAGATCTGACGAAGAAGATTGTCTTTAAG